CAGAGTCCTGGCTGTTAGGGATGTCAGCTTTTTATAGCTCCCTGAGCTGACACCGACCACCCCAGGCAGAGGAGTTACAGCCGTGGAGCAGGCTACCACAAAGAACATCCACCGAATAAGAATCAATATAAAATCATCCACACACATCCACTCACACCCAAGGTCCCTACCGCTTTCCCGAGACACATAGAAGCTTTTGGGGGGGGGGGAAGGGGGGTCGTCGACCTCCCCGACACAACTCTGCTTCAGAGTTCCTGTGTTCCTCCTCCAGGGTCTCCACCTCCCCTAAGCAACTCTGCTTCGCAGAGTTACCGTCCCCGGACAGTGGGAGATGTCCGTGGGCAGCCAAGCGGCCACCCCGGTAACCCGATGGCAACCAACTTCGCTCTCGGCCGGTGCCAGGCTGCAGCTCGCTTGCTTCCCTGCTCCTGTCGCTCCTGGCATGCCTCTTGTGGTCCCAGACGTCCCACCAGCCCTGGTTCACTCCCCAGGTTGGCTGCTGGAAACATATTACTACTATAATAGCCCAGGAATGTGTGTATCGCGGGTGACGTCACTCCACATGCTGCACCCCCCCCCCCCCCCCGTCATTAATAATAAAATAATAATGAGCGAGTGGGTTTCACAATCGCGCGGAAGAAGGTCGAGCGTAAAGATATTTTTATTCACAAAGTCGCTTCAAATATGACGTTTCTTTACAGAAAGTGATGGTCAAAAATAAATCCACACAGCACAGTGCTACATCCGTACATGATGCCACTGCAAAAGAGGCCCCGCCCCCTCATTATTAATCATGAGTGGGTGTATTTTTATACTCCCACAGGTCCGAGCGGAGAAACATTTTTTTACGCAAATTCGCTTTAAATTTGACGTTTCTTTATTGATTTTTTTTCAAATAAATAACTCTACACAGCAACAAAGTGATTTTAGTGTCTTTATTTATTTTTTCAGCACTTGAAAGAAAAAGTAAGTCTAATTTTTCCTTCTAAATATATACATTTCTCCGTGATTTTCCAGATATTGTATCGAATTCAAATTGATTTCAACCCCAGTGAGTGAAAGCATAAGAAAATAAAGTATCAGAGCAGTGATTTTAAAATAATTGATAATTAGTTAAATAAAGTGCTACAGTGACATGAAGTGACATGTTTTATGACGTAGTTTTGTGCAAGAATCACTGCCGTTAAATTACACAAGATACAATAATACTCTGGTCAATTTTTTCATAACTTTAATGGTTATATTTTGCTTTAAAGCTTTCGTGACTGCAGGGATTCATTTTATTGGTTCTTTCGGTAAAGTCACATAGAAGGGAAACAATATAATAATAAGAATATAAAACAATAAAATTCTCACGACGTTTTGACTGCAACACAAGCAATCATCATCAGGTGTGAAAACCACAGCAAGAAAATTTTAAAAAAATGGCGTTTTTTTTTACGTTAGCACCACGGAGAGTGATTTGGCAGTTGTTCAGATGGACGCGTCCATCTATGTTCGGAAAAGAGGAGGGGGGAGACGAAAATAATGGATGCGGTCTGAAAGCCACCGTAAGCGTGAACAATCAATTAAGACCCGAAATGGTTTATCAAATCCTTTCAATGATTGCTAAGCCAGAATCCATTTTCTTGGCTGAAACTGTCTCTGTGTTTGTATATGTGGATAGCCTCATGAACGAATCTCTCATGGTAGCCACCTGATGATGATTGCTTGTGTTGCAGTCAAAACGTCGTGATAATTTTATTGTTTAATATTTTTATTATTTTATAGTTTCCCCTTCTACGTGACTTTACTGAAAGAACCAAGAATATGAATCCCTGCAGTCACGAAAGCTTTAAATCAAAACCTAATAATATTCTCGTAAGTTTTGATGCGACTTCTCTGTTCATAAGGGTTCCAGTCAACGAGTAAATTAAATTACTCGATACTCTGGTAACGAACAAAGGTTTAGCGAAGGATATCCCACAACTAGCCGAACACTGTCTAAAGAACACCTATTTCTTGTGGAAAGGTGATTTCTGTAAACAAAAGGAAGGAGCAGCAATGGGCTCTGCTTTGTCTCCTGTGATTGTGAATTTGTGCGTGGCAGATTTTGAAGCAAAAGCAATAACTTCAAGCACACTAAAACCCTCTGCTTGGTTTAAATATGTGGATGACATATTGGTGGTCTGGCCACATGGCAAAGATACACTTAACGAATTTCTAAATCATCTTAACTCGCAAAATCCGTCCATTCAGTTCACATGGAAGTTTAAGCTGACAGAACTCGCCAATTTCTGGATATTCTGCTTGGGAGCGGTCGAAATGGTAAAATAACATACAGAGTTTAGAGAAAGAAAATGCACACCATTACACCGCACATAAATCTTCTCTCATCAATACGCTTATACATCGGGCTAAGAAAGTGTCAGATGGCGAGTCGAAGAAGTAAAATTAAACAGTGCAAATGAATGGTTTCAATGTTGCACAAATCAACAGGGCACTGAATACCAAAACCAAATCAAATAACATGAGCATTGAAACTGACCAAGTATATAAAACTATTAAAATACTGTACATTGCGGGAGTAAGTGATAAACCGATTAACTAGCCAGATGTTTGGAAAAACAAAACATCCGAGTCAGATTTGGCACGGTACATAAAATACAGAAACTAATGTGGTACTAAAGATGTGTTACCGAAGCTGCCAACAGAAGTTGTGTACCGGATTCATTGCTCTTGTGGCAAACAATATGTTGGGCAGACAGGATTCATTATCTGCACAAGACTAAGAGAACACCAAAGGAACATGAAATACTCCAAGCTGAAATTAGGAGCACTCCCTTTAAGAGTGTGCTTAATCTTAGCTCGTTACCTGTATAAAAGACACCTGGGAGCCAGAAATCTTTCTGATTGAGAGGGTGTCAAATCCTAATTTCCCTCATTAAAATGCAAATCAATTTATAACATTTTTGACATGCGTTTTTCTGGATTGTTTTGTTGTTATTCTGTCTCTCACTGTTCAAATAAACCTACCATCAAAATTATAGACTGATCATTTCTTTGTCAGTGGGCAAACGTACAAAATCAGCAGGGCATCAAATACTTTTTTCCCTCACTGTAAGCCCTTGGGTATAAAGCCGCGAGAGATGGTCAACACTACACTGTGGATGTGCAGAAACAGACTCATCCAGATCCCTACTACTCCTACTCCCCACTTTGAAAAAATCCGGCACTGCGAGTTGAAAACAAGATAATCAGTCTGATTGTAAATTGGCTCAGATGCATAGAGTAGGGGACCTCTTAGCAGATAATGGCCACATTGACACATTCCAATCCATGAGATCCAGGTACAACCTCCCAAATTTTCAGTTTTAACAATATCCCTATATTCGGGATGTGATCGCCAGAGCCAGAGGAAGAGATCTGATAACACTCCCTCCTGCAGTAATGCAATGGCTCCAGTCAGATAAAGAGAGATACAACCTATCTGAGGCATACCGACTTCTGCTCCCAGGGACGAAGTGGACAACCTCAAACCCGGGCGCTATGCGAGCAAATAGTGAATCGGCCAATCCCCAACAAAACATGGACCCAGATTTGAAATTTCACCTCCCAAGAGGTCAGATCCCTCTCCCTGAAAACAATCCAATTCAAATGTCTACAACGGCCTACATGACCAATCAAAGGAGGGCCAAGTTTGGTGCAGCCTCATCTCCGGACTGCCCGAGGTGCCCTCTGGGTGTAATACACGATTACGAACATGCTTTCTGGTCATGTCTGACTATTGCTGAGATCTATGAACATATAATGGGGGCATTCAAACAGGTCCCTGCAGGGTGGGCTGGTAGGAACATTGGAATTTTGCGCAATTTTATTTTTACACCCCAACAGCTCGAGATTTCACTTCGTTAAAGTATTGAAAGGGGACGGACGGACGGACGGACGGACACATTAATTTATTGCAGGCTGGTACACTCAGTTTACAACTTCGTTCCTACCAGTATAAGATACACAATACATCTGTAAAAATTAGGAAAGAAACTACCGCGGGACCTAAGAGAAGTGGGACTGACTCGAGAACAGAACAATTAGTTAATGACTTTCAATATAGCAGCCAGAAGAAACATATTGAGTATGTGGAAGAATCACGAACGCCCCTCCCATACTCAATGGTTGTATTCATTAGGCCAATCCCAGCACTGAAGCATCTGAGCTATAACCTCAGAGACAAGTAAGAATAATACACAGGTACATGGGGCCCATTCATAAGCCTTAGAACAGTCAAATACCTGAGCCCAGAATGTCAATGACCTGGCAAACACCTCCCCCCCCCCCCCTGCTCTGATGAGTCCAGTGTGCCTGATACCGTCGATGCAACTGGTAATGCCATCCAGAATGTCAGAATGGTGCAATGTATGAGAGGGGATGCGGAATAAAAATATTTATGAAAAGGGACTGCTAAAAGTCCAACATCCATCAATTAAGCAAATTCGGATCTAAAAAGTAGTGACAAAAATTGATAAATAGCTCAATTATAATATGAATAGAATAAGGGAACTCTACAAAGCCTACAAAAGGGACTAAGATGAAGAACAACCCTCCAAAGCACTTCAAGTACAGCATAAAATATCCATTAGGAATGCTAAGAAACAGGTAAAAAAGAGCACCACCTTCAGGGTAAAAACGAATACCAAAAGGTATTTCAAATATCATAAGTCAGATAACGTTTAAGCAGGAAGTTAAAATCAAATCATTAATAAGTGTTAAGTTGTAGATGACACAAAGCAAGTAACCAATGCACTAAATGAACATGTCATAGAGGTGTTCACAAAGGAAGAAAAAACATACATTCATTAGTGACTGGACTGAGACCATCAGCTCAACTCAACCTGGCCACCTGACATGCAGGATTCACTCTGATTGAGATAAAGTTAAAAGACCCCACACGGAGGACTCACTCATCAGTTCTGAGACACCTTCCCTCACTCACTCACCAGTTCAGACTCCCTGACACTTACCGGCTCCAGCGTCCTCTCCCTTTACGGTCACAGCAAGCCACGCAGCTCCGCTTGCGCGTTCCTCTCGTTCCTCTTTGATGGGTGGATCCCCCGATGTTGCGACCTCCATGTCTGTGTGGCAGAAAATAGAATGCCATCCTGATGAAAATAATAGGCTCGCCTTTCTGGCAAAAACACAGGTGATAAGATGTTCAAACACCAAATAGACACCTATCACAAGGCATTAAGTATGCATTAATCACACAAACTTGTCATAAAACATGCAAACAAGTATGCTTTAATCATGCATGCATTTTGCTTCAAACTGATTGGCCTACACTAGAGACCCTTTGATGGCTTTGTCTCACCAGTGCTAGACCAAAGGCCGCCAGAAGGCAAACAGTACAAGGATGCCAAAGCATTAATAGCTCGGGCTAAGCAGTTATACATAAATGGGACCATTTCACCAGTATTAATAAATGAAAAAGGCAATATCATTTCTGGCATAATAAAGGTGTTAAGATGTTAAAACACCAAATAGACACCATTGTAAAGCATCAAATCTGCATTAACCACACATACCTGTGGTAAAACATGCAAACATAACTAAGCAAATCAGAGTGGAACAATGCAATGTTAAGGCCAAGCAAATGATCGTACAAGGTCTTCAAGTGTACCATCTAAGTATTGAAGTACTCTCAAAACCTAATGTGACTTTTTACCCAGAAACTTAAGGGGAAAAAAACATTGATGCCGTCGCCTAACAGGAGACGGGTGTGAAGGACAGCATACGGATGGCAAGTTACAAAATAATGACACCCTTTTTGCGGCCATCTACTAACCTAAACATGGCCTTGCCACCTTCACAAAGCAAGACCGAAAGGACTATACTTTAAAGTCTATCAGTATAAGCAATGGTACATCAACAATAAGGGTGACAGATGGGTCGTTTGGCAGTCTTCTGCTTTAGTATGGTAGAATGGAAAAGCAACAGTTTTGAAACGTGTTATAGTTGAATGCTAATTTAGCCACTGAGTGGATCGCAGCAACACGACCAATATGTGCATATTTGGTGGATTTGTCGGTGATGTGCTTGTTGGTTTGGCTTTCACTGCAGTCACAGTACGGAAAATCTTTGATCTTCCACCTGTGGAAGATGTATGCGTATCTCCCATGTTGCGTTCAACCACGGTTTAGCATGGTTCAGCATCGTTTTTGTTTGATACGCCCGGTAATTCCAGTTGGGTCCTAAAATGAGGTGTTTGTTTACCATATCCATAGCTATCCACATTTCGCTCCAGCAAGTGCCATTTTTTTTTTCCGGCTGCATGCATCCAGAGAGGTTTCCTGGTTTTCAGCCGATGGCGTGGGGGTTCTTCTCGGTGCGTTTGCAGCGGCAGAGCAATGTTGTCCATAAGCCTGTGGTATTCGCAGGTAATAGCGGCATTGTGTCGAATGCTGTCTGGGGTGATGGTTGCCAGCATAGCAAGCCACAGGAGTGGAGTGGGCGTCAGGGTACCGCTGATGTTACGGGAGTGCGATTTTGATTTTGCTATCCACGAGATTTGTGCGAGAGCTGACACTTCACAGTGGAGTGGGTCAGGGCCTGCGTAGATATCTTAAATGCGCGGGCATCGATTACTCACATTGTTCCTGCAAGTTTCTGAAAAATGTTTAATCAGATTTTGTTGTTATTTTGGTTTGTTTAAGGTGGTGGTCATGGGTGACCAGCCAGTTTAGGGTAACTGGTAGGGATGTGCTCGTGTTAACGGTGTTATAAATAAGTTGACACTGAATGTTTTGTGGCTTGTTGTTCAGGTCGAAGATGGAGATTATGCTTTTGGAGGTGTCTCACTTAAGGCGCCAGAGTGGAATATGGCAGCCTTCACACAGCACACTCTTGTTACATGACAAATCACGACGAATGCTTTCAATGTGGTAACCGAACATCGATCTTCCGGTCTCCAGAGCAACAACACAAGCCACACCAATGGACCTCTTCAGAACCAAACAACGTGCCAGATCTATACATTGGTGGCTATAACAGACACCATACTATGTGGGGCTATGCAGTATATCAGGCCAACAGTGAAGACCTCACCAAATGGATGTCCGCCAAAAATCTGCACCTGGTTTTCGGTTCCAAGAAGCAAGCAACTTTCCACTCTGCTCGCTGGCAACGCGAGTACAACCCAGTCCTCACTATTGTTTACAAAGATCAAAGTGGGAGCACACTTCACGCATCCCACAACATTCTACCAAGCTTCCACCAAAAGTCCATATAGGCCCATCATCACCCACATGGGCATCGAAATCCCCGTGAATCTGTCAAAACAATACCAAGGTGGAACCCGGTCAAAGCTAACTGGGACCACTATAAGCAGGCTGTAGAAAGAGTGGTGAGTCAATTTCCCACGACATGCCACAAACTGGGTCAACACAAGAATCCACTTTCAATGACATCGAATCCACTCTGAAGACCTAAACACCATGGGGGAATATTTCCAGAAATGGAGGCCCAAGCAAAATCCCTTACAAAACCGTCAATGCATTTCATATTGATAATTAATTATAGGAGCACCAAGCACACTCTTAAAGTGACCTGTGGTAACACAATACGATCCCACTCCAACCTATCTCGGATTGAAGTTAGACCATATGCTAAGCTTCCATGGCCACATATAAAAGGTAGCTGCCAAGACCAAAACAATGGTCAACCTGGTCCAGAAACTAGCAAGCACAAGCTAGGGAGCATCAGCACCCTCATTGCTAAGGACATCAACAATGGCCCCTATGTACTTTGTAGCCGAGTACTGTGCACCAGTATTGACCAGGAGTAGTCATACTCGACTTGTTGATGTCCAACTGAACAGTGCAATGCATTGCATCACTGGAACCCTCAAGTCGACCCCAATACCCTGGGCTGCCCGTGCTGTCAGAACATCTCTCCCCAACACCACAACACTGCAACCCTCCGGGAAGTCCTGAGAATCGAGGAAAACAGTCACCTTCCCACTCATCAGGACCTCAATAACGTCTCTCGTCATCACTTGAAGTCACACAAACCCTTTTGGACCAATATGCTTAGCCTTCAACACCAATTAAACTTGGAAAGCTAAATGCAGTTCAAAAGAACTCACAAGTACATTGTGAAACGCCCAATGCAGATAATCCCTGGATATGATTTTCCACGAAGCTCATGGTCCACCCTAAATTGGATCTGTACAAATCATGGCAGATGTGGATACCTGATGCACAAATGATGGAGAGACGTGGGCCACCTATCGCAAACACATAAAATCAGTGAAAATGTTTAATCAACGCTGCATCAGGAAAATAATAAACATCACCTGGGAAGAAAGACAAACTAATATCAGTATCCTGGAGCAATCCAATTCATCCAGCATAGAGGCCATCATCATGAAGTACCAACTCAGATTGGCAGGTCACCTTGTGAGGATGAATGATTCGAGGCTTCCTAAGCAAATCTTCTATTCCCAGGTCAGGGATGGATCACGTGTCCCTGGAGGTCAAAGGAAGCGTAGTTAAAGCAAGTACCACGACAGTCACTATGCACTGCTGTAGTTAAAGCAGGTACCACCAAAGTCGGTTTGTGCTGCTGTAGTAATAGCAGGTACCATCACAGTCAGTATGCACTGCTGTAGTGAAACCAGGTACGACCAAAGTCGGTATGCACTGCTGTAGTGAAAGCAGTTACGACCATAGTCGGTATGCACTGCTGTCATTAAAGCAAGTACCACCACAGTCAGTATGCACTGCTGTAATCAAAGCAGGTACCACCAAAGTTGGTATGCACTGCTGTGGTCATAGCAGATACCATCACAGTCAGTATGCACTGCTGTAATCATAGCATGTACCACCACAGTATGCACTGCTGTCGTGAAAGCAGGTACCACCACAGTCAGTATGCACAGCTGTAGTCATAGGATACCACCAGTCAGTATGCACTGCTGTAATCATAGCACGTACCACCACAGTATGCACTGCTGTAGTGAAAGCAGGTTCCACCACAGTATGCACTGCTGTAGTGAGTGCAGGTAATACCTCAGTCGGTATGCACTGCTGTAGTAATAGTAGATACTGCTATCGAGTTAGTAGATACTGCTATATAGAGTTAATAGATACTAAAACAGTCAGTATATACCACTACAGTCAGTAAATACTGCTAGTCAGTAAATACTACTATACAGTAAGTAGATACTACTACGGTGAGTAGCTACTAGAGTGAGTAAATACTACTAAAGAGTAGATACTACTATAGAGTTAGTAGTTAATACTAGTCAGTGGATACTACAATAGAATCAGCAGATACTACTATACAGTTAGTCATTACTACTATAGAGTTGGTAGATACTACTGTAGGGCCAGTAAATACTACTACGGTCAGTCATTACTGCTACAGTCAGTAAATACTACTAAACAGTCAGTAGCTACTACTGGCTCAGTAGATACTACTGTGCAGTCAACTACAGAGTCAATAGATACTACTTACTCTGTTGTATGTAGGATATGTAGATATATATATACCTACGCGGGGGTAAAGACATTTTTTTAGGGGGGGTCGACAATTTTCGTAAACCTTTTAGATCAACTATTTACCCCCCACTTTCTATAACTTTTCGACTTGTGCAAGCATCTCATAATTTTGTTGCTGGAGAAATGGACAAATGGCCCACCGGGCTTTCACAATACCTTAGTATCTAGGTATGTATATATAAAGATTTTACTGGTAGGAACGAAGTTGTAAACTGAGTGTACCAGCCTGCAATAGATTGTGTCCGTCCGTCCGTCCCCTTTCAATACTTTAACGAAGTGAAATCTCGTGCTGTTGGGTGTAAAATCGGCAATAGACAGCGCAGAGACTTGTCCTACCAGCCCACCCTGCAGGGACCTGTTAAGATAAAATTTGAAATATATTTTTCGGATACTTCCCGCTAGTATATATAATAGTGTGCAGCCACGTAGGGTGCGTATAGTCCCCATTGTGTGCAAAGAATAAAGGTGCCTCCAATTATTTCTGTCTCCAAACTGTGTCACTATACCAGTATGGTAGTGTACTAGTAGTGATGTTTCTCGCTGTATTTCTTGTATACTAGTATAGCAGTAGTGTTGTAGTGTAGTGACTGTGATTGTCACTGTGTGGTGCCGGGCTTACAAAGCCACGGTGGATAATGTTGGCATTATGTGTAGCCCACTTACGGGGTGTAGTACCAGCTCCAGCGGAGCTTGGGTGAGTGCTCGTCAGCACGGAGGCACCGCGAGCAGTGTGCGGTGCGGGTTCCCGGTGAGCGAGCGAGGGGGAGCGTCAGCCAGCCAGGATTACATTGGGGCATGAATATGCTGGTTGACCTGCTGACACATGACCGCATGATATTGGAGGGGGGCCACCGGTGGACGGGGGCCGCTGGGCGGTCATGTTGTCTAAAAGAGCTCTCAGGAGCCTTCGAGAAAGAGCTCGAGCGATCTGGAAGGTGGGCGGGGCGAAGAGCAGAGTCAGCCCCAGCCCAGGAGGATATAACGGGGGCCCCGTGAGGAGCTCGAGGTTCTTCGTGTGCTGGTGTGAAGAAGATCCACGTCAGGGAGAAGAAGCCTTTAGCCACGCGGTCCGGGACCCAGCTTGTGGTCCGGGCCGGCATAGCGAACCATGTCTAGTTCTACCGTAGCGTGGCTAGATGGGCATTCGAGACCGGAGTGTAGATTGTGTGATGTTGCGCTAAGTTTACGTAATAGTGTTGCTCCCAAGATAATGTCTGCGACTCAGTTGGACTCACTGCAGTAGTATAGTAGCAGTGTAGTGGTAGTAGTGGTAGTGTAGTAGTATAGTAGCAGTGTAGTAGTATACAAGTAGTGATGTTTCTCGCTGTATTTGTTGTATACTAGTGTAATGATTCGACAGAGGCGCACACTCATATGGAGGCAACACTATTTATTTAACACAACTGCAATACAACTGTAACACAAACACTATATATAAGGTGGTGACCACCATCCTAATCTCGCTAACACTCGAACACTCGGGTACGTCTCAACATGGCCAAGCCAGGAGGGCTTCTGCTTGGCCACGACGACTTGAGGTCCTCAGTCTTCATGAGGCGTCTTCATCCCGGACACGAACAGCACCGCTCTGCGTGTGGAGCCCGCTTATATGTGCCTCGGCGTGGCCGGCCACACCTAGGCCACGCCCACCTTCTTGAACCCCCGAGAAGACTCTACTCCCTGACTACGTGACCCCCAAGGTCCCCCTGGGGCCTCTGGCCCCCACCTTGATCCGGTCACGTGTCCGGTCGGGTTCACTCAGAGTGCCACGGCCTGACACGACCCCCGTGGCTCTCGTCAACAGCCCCCACACTACCTGACCTGGCAGTGACGTAATTCGTACCGACCCGACATAGCAGTGACGTCATGCGAACAGACCCGACATAGCAGTGACGTCATGTGTGTACAGACCCAACACGGTAGTGACGTCATATGTCCCTACTCTAGTATAGTAGTAGTAAATTAGTATGGTAGTAGTGTAGTATAGAAGTAGTGTATTAGTATAGAAGTAGCGTAGTAGTAATATAGTAGTAGTTTGTCAGTAGTGTAGAAGTAGTTTATCATAGTAAAGTACCGCCTCCAAAAACCAACCCCTCGTCCACGTCGTGGGAGGTGGTAACAGGTAAAGTACAGGATTGCCAGACAGGGCGAAGTATGGTGGGTGGTTTGACCACCTGGGTCACTTCGGTAACCATGAAGGCCTATCTGGATTTACCTGGAAACGCACTGGCTAACGGGGTTCTGGCTAGCCACTTAGGCTAAGGGAGTAAACCCTGATAAAATCCCGGGTGGATACCAAGTGGCCAACGGGTCACCTCGGTGGGGCAGATGAGCTACGGTCCAGATGGCCAATGGCATATGGCGGAGGAGCCACTAGATGTCTGGTGCTCCTTTCAATAGTCTTGGTTTTCTGCCTTGCCATTGGACCCAGGCTTGGTTCCTGGTTAAGCCCAGTGCAGTAGCTGGTGTGCAACAGACACTGCATGTAAATTAATTAATGCACTGGCACCTTCCAGGGGAACTGTACCATCACACAACCACACTACATACCCAATGCCCTTGGGCGATTGGCGAGTGGGGCATGCCTATGCAGCTAGAAGCTCCAATTCACAACACAGCACCAAGGCGGAAGCTATTAGAAGGTCGTCATTCACTCGGATTAGGCAGGAGTGTATCCTGACAGCTGCTGTAGCTGTAACTGAGCAGCCCACAAGGATCGACTCTGCTCACCCCAGATGGGAAAGGGGCTAGAAAATGTGCCCTAAACATAGCCTGCCAAGCAACATTCTGTCTGGCTTACCAGGATCCTCAAAGACAACCCGAACTCACAACGTCCGGAGAGCCGAACAGCAATTGTGGCGCGCGAGCTGAGACGATTTAATATACATATTGCCGCCCTCAGCAAAATCCATCTGACGGATGAACGCCAGTGGAGGCTACACCTTCTTTTGGAAGGGTAAACCACCACATGAACGATGCCTGCATGGTGTAGGGTTTGCAATAGACAACATGCTCATCAACAGCTAGAGTGAGCTCCCATTTGGTATCAATGAGCGTTTTACGACCGTATGCCTAAAACTTGCAAAAGACTAATATGCAACCATCATCAGCACCTATGCACCAACACTGGACTCTGAAGAAGATAACAAGGAGACCTACTACACCCAACTCAATCAAATCCTTCAGAGTACACCAAAAACTGACAAGTTGATTCTCCTCGGTGACTTCAATGCTTGAGTTGGGAGAGACCATCAAATGTGGAACGGCGTAATTGGTAATAAGGGAGTTGGAAAGTCTAACTCCAATGTTACCTTCTACTTACAACCTGCTCTGAGCACGACCTGATAATCACCAACACCCTTTTCAGGCAGAATAATAGCCTTAAGACCTCCTGGTGCCACCCTCGATCACACCAATGGCATTTACTGGACTACGTGATTGTCAGGAAGCTTAACAGCAAAGATATCCGTATCACTCGTGCCATGATCAATACAGACAATTGCTGGCCTGACCAGAGACTAATTGGATCAGTAATGACTCTCAAACTAGACCATAAACACAACCGACCAAAGCTACAGAGGAATAGACTCAATGTAAACGGACTAAAAGACCCAGAAGTAAAGGCCTGAGTCAAAGACCTAGCTCGAAAACTTAGCACCAATCAGGCTTCAGGAAATGTTAATGAATACTGGACACAATTGAAGATGGCAGTGATAACCAGCTGTGCATCACCATTGGCTACACAAGAAGGAAAAACTTTGACAGGTTTGATGACAACCACCAGGAAATCACAGGCCTCATTGACAAGAAGCGGAAAGCATTCATTGCCTGGCAACAAACACGAACAGTCTAGACAGAAAAAACAAGCATAATAGGAGGGAAAATCGCATACAAGGACGGAAAATACAAACTAAAATCCGGTAACTGAAGAACAACTGGTTCAGGAACAAAGCAATAAAAATACATCTTGCAGATTCCAATAACCCACATGAATTTTTGAAAGCAACCAAAGTATTATATGTGTAGTGACATCACAGATGTCACTGTATGGTGCCGGCCCTAGAGGGGCACGGCGTGCAATGTACTCACATCATGGACATCACGTATGTAGCAACATCGTGCATGTCACCGAGCAATGCTGGCTCTACATGGGGCCCCAGGTGGGGGCTAGGGGGTGGTCACGGGCAGGGGGGGAAAGATCCTACGGGAAGGGTCGAGAGAGAGCTAGGACTCTCTCGAAGGTGGGCGTGGCCAAGGGCGGGGCCGGCCACGACCCGGGAGCATATAAGCGGGGTCCCCATAGGGACCGGGGTTCAGCGTTGCTACCATCATCTGAAGATCTACGTTCTACATTGAAGAAGAGTCTCCAACACGTGGACCTGGACCCGAGCTGAGGTCCGGTCCATTGTAGCTAACTCCCAGTGTGTTAGTGTAGTTTAGCCAGGTGGTCCACCACCCTAGGCTGTTATCTGGTAAAGGGGCAGCTACCCCTTTATGTATTACGTGTTGGTTTAATAAATGTGTTGCATCTAAGAAGTACATCTGCAACTCAGTTGAATCCACTACATATGGACCCTCAAAACAGGGCCTCGAACCACTCCAGTCTAAAGATAGGACAGACATCTTCAAAGACAAAAATGCAATCTTCTCCCGCGGGCAAGAACACTTCAGCAGTCTTTACAACTGCAATGCCGTTGTAGATGCTTCTATATTCAGTGAGATTCTGCAACACTCTACCACTGAGGACTTAGCTGGAGAACCAACGATGCTTGAAGTGGCTGAAGCTGTCAAGCAGATGAAAGTGAACAAAGCTAGGTTGCTAGACTAGATTCCTGCTGAGATTTACAAACATGGAGGACAACGCCTACAAGAACACCTGCACTCCCTCATGGCCAGGATCTGGAATGATGAAGACCTTCCCAACGAACTGAAATATGCCATTATTGTCAACATCTTCAAAAAAGGTGACAAGTCAGACTGTGACAACTACAGAATATCTCTTCTTGCCACCGTTGGCAAAATACTGACAAGAATCCTACTAAACAGACTTCTACCACTTGCTGAAAAACTCCTTCCTCAATCGAAGAGTGGCTTTCAACCTGGCAGGGGAACCTCAGACATGATCTTCTCAGCACGTCAACTCCAAGAGAAGTACCAGGAGTAGAGACTACCAATGTACATGGCCTTCAATTTGATTAAAGCTTTCGATTCTGTTAATCGTGAAGCACTATGGAGAATATTTCTAAGATATGGCTGCCCAACAAAATTTGTTAACGTCCTCCGTCTTTTGTATGACAGTATGAAGGCTGTCATCCTAACGGGTGGTGAAACCCCAGAGCCAATCGAAGAAAGGACCGGTGTGAAGCAAGGCTGCGTCATTGCACTAACTCTATTCTCCATCTTCCTGGCGGGAATGCTTAATCTGACAGAGAACCGACTTCCCAGAAGCATAAATATCATATATAGGATAAATGGGAACATATTCAACATCATGTGTTTCAGAGCCAAGTCGAAAACATCAATCACATCCGTGTTGAATTCCAATATTCTGATGATGCCCAAGTCAGTGCCTGCTCAGAAGCTGACCTTCAGGTCATCGTAAATATATTTACAGATGCTTACAGCAGGATGTGTCTAACATTTAATACCAGAAAAACAAAGATCCTTTTCAAACAAGCTCTGGGAGGACACCTACCACCCCCTACAATCACTGCCAAGAATGAAATACTAGAAAACGTTCCCAGTTTCCCATACTTAGGCAGCCATCTCTCTAGCAATGTCTTAATTGATTATGAAATCCAACATTGGATTGCCCAAGCTAGTGCTACCTTTGGCAAACTTAAGAACAGGGTCTTTGAAGACCACAACATTACCACCAAGACAAAAGTGGCTGTGTATAATGCTGTGATCATTCCAACCCTCTTATATGGTGCAGAAACGTGGACCACCTATCGCAAACACATAAAATCAGTCAAAATGTTTAATCAACGCTGCCTCAGGAAAATACTAAACATCACCTGGGAAGAAAGACAAATTAATATCAGTATCCTGCAGTGATCCAATTCATCCAGCATAGAGGCCATCATCATGAAGTACCAACTCAGATGGGCAGGTCACCTTGTGAGGATGAATGATTCCAGGCTTCCTAAGCAAATCTTCTATTCCCAGGTCAGGAATGGATCACGTGCCCCTAGAGGTCAAAGGAAACGTTTCCGTGACAACCATAAAACGCACCTCAAGCAAAGCCACCTAGATCCAAACAACTGAGAAATCTATGCTCTTGCTAGACCATCATGGAGGGCCAAACTCAACAATGGAACTCAGCACTTTGAGGCCAAAACGAAGAGAGTCGATAGCCAGGAAAACAGCAAGCCGCAAAAAAACGTACACAAGAGAGGGAGACCACAAGTGGGAGCTCCAGGATGGACCATCCCTGCCCCTACTGTGTCAAGATGTGCAGGTCACGGAGTGGCCTATTCAGCCATCTCCAGACCCATGGCCAGCCAGACCCACCTCACAACACGGACAAGTGACACCTGGAGGGAAATCATACTCGACTACGAGAGATCCCAGAAGAAAGCAGCATACCAGTATAATAGTAGTGTAGTATAGTCATAGTGTAGTAGTGTACCAGCATAGTAGTAGTAGTGCACTAGTATAGTAGAAGTGTGGTAGTATAGTAGTAGTGTAGTATTATAGTAGTGTACAGGTCGTGATGTTTCTCTCTGTATTTGTTGTATACTAGTATAGTAGTAGCATAGTGTAGTAGTACAGTAGTTGTGTAGTGGTAGTTTAGTAGTAGTGTCGTAGTATAGTAGTGTAATTGTTGTGTAATAGTATCGTAGTATACCAGTAGTGATGCTTCTCGCTGTATTTGTTGTATACTAGTACAGTGAGGGAAAAAAGTATTTGATGCCCTGCTGATTTTGGATGTTTGCCCACTGACAAAGAAATGATCAGTCTATAATTTTAATGGTAGGTTCATTTGAACAGTGAGAGACAGAATAACAACAAAATCCAGAAAAATGCATGTCAAAAATGTTATAAATTGATTTGCATTTTAATGAGGGAAATAAGTATTTGACCCCCTCTCAATCAGAAAGATTTCTGGCTCCCATGTGTCTTTTATACAGGTAACGAGCTGAGATTAGGAGCACACTCTTAAAGGGAGTGCTCCTAATCTCAGCTTGTTACCTGTATAAAAGGCACCTGTTCACAGAAGCAATCAATCAGATTCCAAACTCTCCACCATAGCCAAGACCAAAGAGCTCTCCAAGGATGTCAGGGACAAGATTGTAGACCTACACAAGGCTGGAATGGGCTACAAGACCATTGCCAAGCAGCTTGGTGAGGTGACAACAGTTGGTGCGATTATTCGCAAATGGAAGAAACACAAAAGAACTGTCAATGAACCTCGGCCTGGGGCTCCATGCAAGATCTCACCTCGTGAGGTTGCAATGATCATGAGAACGGTGAGGAATCAGCCGAGAACTACACAGGAGGATCTTGTCAATGATCTCAATGCAGCTGGGACCTTAGTCAGCAAGAAAACAATTGGTAACACACTACGCCGTGAAGGACTGAAATCCTGCAGCGCCCGCAAGTTCCCCTGCTCAAGAAAGCACATATATATGACTGTCTGAAGTTTGCCAATGAACATCTGAATAATTCAGAGGACAACTGGGTGAAAGTGTTGTGGTCAGATGAGACCAAAAGAGCTCTTTGGCATCAACTTAACTCGCCGTGTTTGGACGAAGAGGAATGCTGCCTATGACCCCAAGAACACCATCCCAACCATCAAACATGGAGGTGGAAACATTACGCTTTGGGGGTGTTTTTCTGCTAAGGGGACAGGACAACTTCACCGCATCCAAGGGACGATGGACGAGGCCATGTACCGTCAAATCTTGGGTGAGAACCTCCTTCCCTCAGCCAGGACATTGAAAATGGGTTGTGGATGGGTATTCCAGCATGACAATGACCCAAAACACACGGCCAAGGCAACAAAGGAGTGGCTCAAGAAGAAGCACATTAAGGTCCTGGAGTGGCCTAGCCAGTCTCCAGACCTTAATCCTATAGAAAATATGTGGAGGGAGCTGAAGGTTCAAGTTGCCAAACGTCAGCCTCGAAACCTTAATGACTTGGAGAAGATCTGCAAAGAGGAGTGGGACAAAATCCCTCCTGAGATGTGTGAAAACCTGCTGGCCAACTACAAGAAACATCTGACCTCTGTGATTGCCAACAAGGGTTTTGCCACCAAGTACTAAGTAATGTTTTGCAGAGGGGTCAAATACGTATTTCCCTCATTAAAATGCAAATCAATTCATAACATTTTTGACATGCGTTTTTCTGGATTTTTTTGTTGTTATTCGGTCTCTCACTGTTCAAATAAACCTACCATTAAAGTTATAGACTGATCATTTCTTTGTCAGTGGGCAAACATACAAAATCAACAGGGGATCAAATACTTTTTTTTCCCTCACTGTATCGTAGTAGTAGTGGTATACTATAGTAGTGTAGTATAGTAATACTGTACAAGTATAGAATAGTAAAAGTGTAGTCGTATAATAGTGTACTAGTATAGTGTAGTAGGATAGTAGTAGTGTACTAGTATAGTATTCGTGTATAAGTAAAGTAGTAGTGTACCAGTGTAGTAGCATAGTGGGATAGTAGTAGTGTAGTAGTATACTAGTGTAATAGTAGCGTAGTCGTAGTATACTAGTATAGTAGTGTAGTACGAGTAGAGTAGTAGTGTAGTAGTGTACTAGTAGTATAGTAGTGTGCTAGTAGTATAGTAATAGTGTACTAGTAGTATAGTAGTAGTGTACTAGTAGTATAGTGGTAGTGTACTAGTAGTGTAGCGGTAGTGTACTAGTAATGTAGTAGTAATGTACTAGTAGTATAGTAGTAGTGTACTAGTAGTGTAGTAGTAGTGTACTAGTAGTAATGTACTAGTAGTGTAGTAGTAGTGTACTAGTAGTATATTAGTATAGTGGTACTGTACTAGTAGTATAGTAGTAGTATATTAGTATAGTAGTGGTAGTGTACTAGTAGTATATTAGTATAGTAGTAGTACATTAGTACAATATTAATAGTATAGTGGTAGTGTACTAGAAGTATATTAATAATATATTAGTACTATACTAGTAGGATATTAGTGGTTGTGTACTAGTAGTATAGTAGTAGTATAGTAGTATATTAGTACTATATTAATAGTAGAGTGGTAGTGTACTAGTAGTATAATAATAGTATACTAGTACTATACTAGTAGTATATTAGTGGTAGTGTACAAGTAGTATGGTAGTAGTATATTAGTACTAAATTAATAGTATAGTGGTAGTGTACTAGTAGTATATTAATAGTATATTAGTACTATACTAGTAGTATATTAGTGGTAGTGTACTAGTAGTATAGTAGTATATTAGTGCTATATTAATAGTATAGTGGTAGTGTACTAGTAGTATATTAATAGCATATTAGTACTATATTAGTAGTATATTAGTGGTATATTAGTACTGTATTAGTACTATACTAGTAGTATATTAGTGGTAGTGTACTAGTAGTATAGTAGTATATTAGTACTATATTAATAGTATAGTGATAGTGTACTCGTAGGATATTAATAGTATATTAGTATATTATACTAGTAGTATATTAGTGGTATATTAGTACTATATTAGTACTATACTAGTAGTATATTAGTGGTAGTGTACTAGTAGTATAGTAGTATATTAGTGCTATATTAGTATAGTGGTAGTGTACTAGTACTATATTAGTACTATACTAGTACTATACTAGTAGTATATTAGTGGTATATTAGTACTATATTAGTACTATACCAGTAGTATATTAGTGGTAGTGTACTAGTAGTAGACTAGTATATTAGTGCTATATTAGTATAGTGGTAGTGTATTAGTACTATATTAGTAGTATACTAGTAGTATACTAGTAGGATAGTAGTATATTAGTACTATATTAGTACTCTACTAGTAGTATATTAGTGGTAGTGTACTAGTAGTATAGTAGTATATTAGTGCTATATTAGTATAGTGGTAGTGTACTAGTACTATATTAGTACTATACTAGTAGTATATTAGTACCATATTAGTACTATATTAGTACTACACTAGTGGTATATTAGCAGTATATTAGTACTATATTAGTACTCTACTAGTAGTATATTAGTGGTAGTGTACTAGTACTATATTAGTACTATATTAGTAGTATATTAGTGGTATATTAGTACTATATTAGTACTCTACTAGTAGTATATTAGTACCATATTAGTACTATATTAGTACTATACTAGTAGTATATTAGTGGTAGTGTACTAGTAGTATAGTAGTATATTAGTGCTATATTAGTATAGTGGTAGTGTACTAGTACTATATTAGTACTATACTAGTACTATACTAGTAGTATATTAGTAATATATTAGTACTATATTAGTACTATACTAGTAGTATATTAGTGGTAGTGTACTAGTAGTATAGTAGTATATTAGTGCTATATTAGTATAGTGGTAGTGTACTAGTACTATATTAGTACTATACTAGTAGTATATTAGTACCATATTAGTACTATATTAGTACTACACTAGTGGTATATTAGCAGTATATTAGTACTATATTAGTACTCTACTAGTAGTATATTAGTGGTATATATAGTACTATATTAGTACTCTACTAGTAGTATATTAGTGGTAGTGTACTAGTACTATATTAGTACTATATTAGTAGTATATTAGTGGTATATTAGTAGCATAGTAGTACTATATTAGTACTATACTAGTAGTATATTAGTACTATATTAGTACTATATTAGTACTCTACTAGTAGGATATTAGTGGTAGTGTACTCACTGTTATTTGTTGACCGCCGTGGCCCGAATCTCCCCTTGGCGCTCGGGGACGGCATCGGAGGCAGCGCCCTGAGCGCCGATTCGCGACCTAGGGACCGCGGCGAACAGCGCCGAGCTCCGATTCGACACTTAGGGACCGCGGCGAACAGCGTCGCGGTCACAATCCGCAGGTTACCGTTTATAAAGGATTCAGAATTGGGCGTGGCACAACAAAATATAAAAGATCCTGTCTGTTTTTTTTATCTATTGAGTTAAAGGTGATGAAACATGTGGCAGTAATAGGACTAGGATTAGTTTCAACACCTAACCTAATCAACCATATTAATATTAATTTATTTATAATGTAGTGTGTAATAGAGTGCTGCCCAAAACGGCGTTTTTTACTTGTAGTGAGGCATGTCAATGAGTAATCTGTAAGCTACGGGTGACTGGTGAAGACCGTATAAAATAAAAAAATATCATGACATTCTAGAATATTGTAGATTTGACGAAAAAAATGAACAGAATATGGGAGGTGTCATTGAGAAAGTCTCGGGGTGTGCTGTGTGTGATGGATGAGGTGACAGTTTGATGGGTTGAGTGACAATAGGATAAACACACAGAGCAGAGTTAGTGGTTAGGAGATGAGCAGCAATCCGCTCCACTGGTTCCAGACAACCCAGCCGCAGCACCAAGACCAGCCAGGGCAGGAGGGCCTCTCTTGAACAGGAGCCCACCTTGAATGACATGGCCACTGCATGGGGGTCTTCATAGAGCGAACTCCCAGAGCAGTGGCTAAGGCAGCCAAGCAGCTGGGGGGCACGCGGTGCTGGAGACGCGTGGCACGGAGCTGAGTTCCGATCTCCTCTTTAAGAGGTGGAACTCGGCTCCCTGGATCAGGTGGCATGGAGCGCCGCTCTGCGTCGATGAATACCACGCCAAGGATTTGCTGGCGATGCCAAGGGGGCTCTGCACAATGGAACACACAGAATATTACACACTGCACCACGCACATCAAAATTGCATCACGGACTGCAATATTTATCAAACACTACTGCGCACTATAGCATACCACATGTTATACTTTACCCATCTAGCCACTACATCACTGTACAATACTCTTAATTTAACGACACCCACTATAAACATGCACACAAACGCACATACAAAAACAGATACATACACGGATAAATACGAACACACAAAATACGAATGCTAAATGACTAACAAATAACAGTAAAGATTCTGACATCGAAGGACATTTGCTACATCAGCACACGCTTGCAGTCAACTGTCAATCCTAATGATATTGCCACTCTTGTGGATGACCGTCTGGCACGCAGCGAGTCAACATTCGAAATACTCGTAGATGAGGGCATAGAATTTAGGGGCTTATTTGTTTTCAAGACGTATCCATGAAGAGTGTACGGGAGGTGCGGTCATTGGAGGCAGGGGCGGCAGAGCCTCACCTGTCATTCTCCAATAAAAATAGGTGTTACAAAAAGTAAAAAATAATAAAATGAAAATTAAGATTTTTCCACTGATCTGTGTTATAAATGTCATTTCTGTATGATTACAATCATGGCAGAGAGATAGTAACGGTCACGCACTTGTTGCCCGAGCACCATCCAGTGTCTGAGGGGTTGCGCAATCAGAGGGGAGGCTGAGCGCGTCACTGCCTCATCTCTCTTCTCTCCCTGTATTTTCAGCGGAGCTCCACAAATTTGGCGATTTTGACAATACAAATGATTGGAATCATACAGAAATGACGTAACACAGATCAGAGTTATCCCACACACTCCCCACGTACACCACCACTAATGCCGAGGTGGCTGCGTGCATGCATGGGCCCGTGCAGGCGAACGTTGCCCACCACGGCTAGCGCTAAAAATAGCCATATGAATATGCACGCGCCCCTCCCCCCTACTCGTGGCTATGCCCTAATCCGCGTGCCCGCAATGCTAAGGTAAACTGAAAAGATATGCACACCTACCCTCCGGTGGATCAGCCTTAATCCGCCGTGCAACAGATGCTACACGAAAAGAAGGAGATGACCTGCGGCAGGACCCTGGGTGCACGTCACGCTGTTCAGGATATTTCCACTGTGTAAATGCGCTGCGTAAAGCGCGCTGTGCAAACACGCGCGTGAGGGGTCGCGGTCGTCGAGATGGTAATCTATGCGGAAACGGCAGGGAGTGGATTTAGCGCACCCTGACACCCACTTTAATCACTCAGGCGGCACAGCAGGTGCGCGTTTTCTACACACTCGAACGAAAACAATGACGGTCGTATAGATGGTAATAGATGCACACCTCACACACCAACCCCACACCCCGCCCCGAACGTAGTCGCTCCACTCAAAAATCACAGACACCACACGCCGAAGTTCATCCACACACACAGAAATCACACTACACCGATCTTATGAACTGAAGTTTATTCATGACGAGTCTAAAGAAAGCCCTGTGCGGCCTGGAATAAATATTCTGCGAGCAGCGCCTAACCTATCCCTATTCAATCCCTGGATGTACCCCCACTCTACTTGTCACCTCGCAGATGCACTCAGGGTGTCCCACGGACGATGTGGGAGTCAGAGGGACGAGGATCCGAGAGGTCTCTGCCTGGGATCGAGTTGTAGCAGCACTCGCTAGCTTCTCTCGGACGTTGCAAGCGGCTGGGAGTCGGACCGGGCAACTGAACAGCTGGAGGAGAACCCCTTAACGTTTTTCTGCCCTCTCCTTTTATGCCCTCGGAATCCAAAGATCCAGGGTCACGTGTTGTTATCCTGCACGGCAATCAGGCGCCTACCTTTCGATTTTAAACCGATGCCCTGCCCCTACCTGGAGCGTTGCTTTCCCATTACGCCTCGATCCATTGTCTACACACCCGTCCTTCCCACCCCGGACTAAACCGGTTTGATCGGGGTGGCCGTCCCGCGGAATACACATCTGCAGTGGGTCCAGGAATTTCCCTCCCACCTCCTCGTCTGTGCTGCCCGCGTAATATTTCCGCCCACCTGCCCCTTCCCCGTGCTGTGAGTGTCTCATTGCGGTTAGCCCGGTGAGCTTCGTCGTGCCCATACAATTTTAAGTCAATTTACGGGGGCCAAAATCTAATTTGTCCTGGGGGGTCGGCCAATCTCCTGGCACTGGGAAACCGTGGGACATCCCCGCTAGGAGCCCCTCGGGTAAAAACGAGACGCTACATGGGTGCTTGTGTTTAGTGTGGGTGTGTGTGCGTTCGTGTGGAGTAGTAACTGCACACATTGGGGTGGGGTGGGAGGAGATGCGTGCTTTGGCGCCGTGATCAGCGTCATAATAAATTGCGAAAAAGTGTGATTGTATTATATATTCTTAGCTCTTTTGGTAAAGTCACGTTGAAGAGAAACAATAAAATAATAAAATATATATAAAACAATACAATTCTCACGACGTTTCGACCATAACACAAACGGTCGTCATCAGGTGTGTCGTTTTGCATTAATTTATTTATTTTAAAACGGTGTATTTATTTATAAAAACGTCAGCGCCATGCGCAGCGATTTGGAAGTTTATTTAGAAGGACTAGTAAATCTATGTTCTGAAAAGAGGAGGGGGGAGACGAAAAATTAATGTATGCTGTCTGAAAGCCACTGTAAGCGTGAACAATCAATTAAGACCTGAAATGGTTAATCAAATCTTTCCAATGATTGCTAAGCCAGAATCCATCTTCTCGGTTGAAATTGTCTCTGTGCTTGTATATGTGGTTAGCCTCATGAACGAATCTCTCATGGTAGCCACATGGCTTACAAAGAACCTCTGTCTTGGAAAAGTCAATGTCATGTGAGCCTACTAAATAATAATAATGATTTCGATTTAAAGCTTTCGTGACTGCAATGATTCATCTTCTTTGGTTCTTTCGGTAAAGGCACGTAGAATGATAATAAAATAATAAATTGATAAAATAAAATAACACAATAATATTCTCACGACGTTTTGGCCACAACACCTACCAGACAGTCTCGCCCCCTTCACCTGATGAAGGCCGCTTGTGTTGTGGCCAAAACGTCGTGAGAATATTATTGTGTTATTTTATTTTATCAATTTATTATTTTATTATCATTCTACGTGACTTTACCGAAAGAACCAAAGAAGAATAATAATGATCTGCTACGGCCGAGGTGTTGGTCCTACCGTGTTTAAGGTCTGCTTTGTGTTCACGAATGCGGTCCGAGACATGGCATTTGGTTTCTCCAATGTAACTACGACCACAGAGGCAACTTAGTTTGTAGAAACCAGGGTACTGTATGTCCGGAATCACATCTTTTACAGATGGAACCAGATCACGGATTTTATGTAATGTGTTGAAACGGACCTGGATCTTGTGTTTATTCAAGATTTTGGAGATCTTTTTTGTGATCCCTGCAATGTAGGGTAAAGTGATGGTTTTGAAAGGCTCCTCAAGAGGGTCCTTCTTCATGGTTTGAGTGATAGCTTTGCGGATTGTATAGTCGGAGTAACCATTAGCCTTATGAGCTTGGTGTACGTGCTTGAGTTCACTGCCTATGTGTTCCTGGTCGGATATGCATTGGGCTCTATGGTACAGAGTCTTGATGAGAGGATTCTTCTGTGATGGATGGTGGTGGGAATCCGGTTTCAGAAAAGCATCCGTATGGGTAGCTTTCCTGTAGACAGAGTGGCTCATTGAACCATCAGGTCTCTTTTTTATTAGGACATCCAAAAAAGGTAGCTTGCCATCTTTTTCGACTTCCATGGTAAATCTGATGGCTGGGTGTATGGAATTGATGTGGTCGAAGAATTGGTCTAGAGCATGCCGGCCATGTGGCCAGATGACAAAAGTGTCATCCACGTACCTCTTCCATAAGGTTGGGCGCAGAGTGGCAGTCTGGATGGCTTCAATCTCAAATTTCTCCATGAAAATGTTAGCTATAACCGGAGATAGGGGGGAGCCCATTGGGGTGCCCTCAGTTTGTTTGTAGAAAGTTCCATTCCAAGTGAAGTATGTATTGGTTAAACAGTGTCTCACCTGGGGGGGTACCTCAGTGTTTAGTCGTTGATGAACCAAGTCTTCAATGATTG